AAATAACGAAAAAAAAAAAAAATTAAGACATGCGTGTCCGTCAATCTAAAACAATAATCTTTGTCAATTTTATTTTACAGTGTTTATGATGGTCAATACTTGATCTATCTCTTACTGTTACATCTCCGGGCAACGCCGTGCTCTACTGCTAGTATAAGTTACGCAGAAGATGACCCTACTAGGAACATCCAATATACTAAGGAAAGTGCTATCAATTAAATGACAATTTTCCGATAGGGCCTAAGGACCATAGCTTCGACCCGGCTCTACATGATACAAAGCAAGAAACAACATAAGCAAATAATAATAATAATAAATAAATAAATAGTATTAACGGATAGAAATAAAATTGTTTCTCAAATTCTTTATTGGTTAGTTGACCTTTTAAACTGCTTCTAAGATTGAAGGTGAAAACAAACAAGCAAACAATAAAACTGGTTCCAAGCCACTATTCTCGGGGAATATTGATGCCGGAAATCTATCCGTCCACATGCTGGTCCGACTTGCAGAAGTTATAAGTAAAAAGTTTTTAGTTTATTTTTATTGTTCTATGTTGTTTTGCGTTGTTTTTCTTCTCTCTCTCTCTTTCTCTCTCTCTCTTTCTCTCTCTCTCTCACACACACACACAGAGGCACTATCTCGCTGACTTTCTCTTTTTCACTAATCTTTACCTTTTTTCTCTCTCTCTCTCTCTCTCTCTGGGTTTTTCTTTGAATCTTTCATATTTTTCTTTTTTCTAATTTTCATCCTCTTTCAAGGCATATCGTCCTCTTTCGTCTTTTCTTTTACCTTAGCGCCATTTCACTTGCGTTCTCGGTTTTTCCTTTAATTCTTCTTCATTTCACCTTTACTTTATGATACTTTTGGGGTTTTTTTATATTCTCTTTTCTTGATTTTTTATTTTTTCCATAATTTTGATTTTTGGGTTTTTTTTTTCTTCGTAGTTTCTTTTTCTATTTTTCTCCTGTCCTCTCTCTCTTTCTCTCTCTTTCTCCCTCTCTCTCTCTCTTTTCCTCCATTCTCTCTCAATCTCTTTATTTTTTCTTTATTGTTTTTCTTATGTGTTGTCATTTTTTGTTTTTTAATGGTTCACTTTTCTTTTCTTTTTCGATTTAATGCTCCTCTTCCGTTTTCCATTTTCTTTCGTCTTTTCTTTTTTTTCTTTCGCCTTTTCTTTTTCTCTTATGCCTTTTCTTTTCCTCTTTCGCCTTTTCTTTTAATCTTTCGCCTTTTCTTTTACTCTTTCGCCTTTCTTTTTTTCCTTTCCTACCTCCTTTTTTCCGTTTCTGGAAAGTTTTATTATTTCTACAATTGGTAATATTTTTTGTTTGTGTTTGTCTTTTACTCTGTCTGTCTTTGGTCCTGTTTCTCTCTCTCTCTCTCTCTCTCTCTCTCTCTGTTTTCCTCCATGCCTCTGTGTGTCAATATATTGTTACTCTCTCTTTCTCTCTCTCTATTTCTCCAACTGCCAGTGTCTCTTTGTGTTTCTCTGTATTTTTCTCAGTCGGTCTGTTTTTCTTAGTCCCCCGTTCTCTCTCCTTCTCTCTTTCTCTGTGTCTATCACTCCTTCTTACGAAACGAACGTCAGCTCAGTTTCGTATCCGTAACGTAAACAAAGAAATTTCTAAAGAATTATTGGTTTTTATTTTTTTAATCCGCCATTGTTTTATTACCTTCGACGTTATTTTTAGTCGATAGCTGTATTTAATATACACGGGACGGTAGACAAAATAAATACCAATGGCAATTCTATTCAAATACGGGTATTCGCTAAAAATAACGAGGTGAAGTAATTTACAAAATCGAACATTATTAATAAATTATAGTGTATTAAAAGTTCTATTTACTGGATACACTGTCTCGGTAGCCATCTTTGATGTTTAAACTGTAAATATATGTCAGACTTGTAGACATAGATCTTCTTTTCTTTTTAGGTGCCGTGTCCTTTCAAGACGTAGGCAATCATGGCTCTCCACTTCACCCTATTCCTTGTGCATCTCAATAAGTTTCGTCCTTCTGCCACATTCTGTTATCCACTTGGTAAAGCCCGTCATTCGTTGTTTTCCCTTGTCCCTTTTTCCATCTATTCGAGCTGTGAGTATCGGATTCTCCAGTCCTTCCTTTCTCATTGTCACAGAAATTTCATCTGCCTCTTCCTGGGGTTAAGTATAAGGCTACTTCTTGTTTGAATCCTCTCCAAAACCTCGTCGTTGCTCAAACGCTCAGTTCATGATATCCTTAGCATCCTTTTAGAGAACCATATATCCGTTGCCTTGAGTCTCTTCTTCATCTTTGAGGAGACCGTCCAACATTCGCTGCCGTAAAGGAGGACAGATTCCCGTAATAGCTCATTACTCTTTTCTTTGTTACCAAAAAAATCCTCCTGTCTCGCAATACTCTGCACAGTTTTTGAAATACCGCCTTATCAGCACTATTTAAAAAACAGCGATGTCTACGCAAATACATAAACTTTAAATTATATATATATATATATATATATATATATATATATATATATGATAATTATTATACGCTCTGTTTATGACATTGAGCTCTCTCTGGATCTATATTTTCTTTAGAATTATCCATACAGATTACCAAATATATTTTATTATTACACACACACACACACACACACATATATATATATATATATATATATATATATATATATATATATATATATATAATCCGTTGGTAAATAATCGAAGTGAATCCTAATGGTGTAAAATATGAAAACTGATGCACAAAAAAAGAGCTCAATGCTTTTGTTATATATAAATTAGATTAAAAATCCAAAATTACCTCATTCGAATAGCTATTTCGACTCACAAAACTTAAGGCCTACAAGTCAGTCTTGTGGGTGAAAATAGCTATTTGAATGAGGCAACTTTGTATCTTTTTCTATAATAATATATATATATATATATATATATATATATATATATATATATATATATATATATGTATATATATATATTTGTTTTAAAAATAAAATATATTAAAAATTTAAATTTTCAGACACACTCGGTTGTATATTAATATTTTTGTTTTATCATTTCAATTAGATTCCTCGACTAGTTTCGCCATCCTGGCCATCATCAGGAGTAAAAACAAACCCTGCTTGTTAGTAGCACTGAACTGCAGGAGTGAATGACTGTCTCTGAAAAATGAACTTTCTTCGCAGTTTTCATTTGATTTTTTAATGTTAATTTTGGTCAGTCCTTGTGTTGGTTAAACGGCCTCTTTGAAGTTGTTTTTCAAACTACTTCAAAGAGGTCGTTTCAGTTTTTATATATATATATATATATATATATATATATATATATATATAAAATTTCACACTACCAAATCTTTTTATTGCGAATATCTTCTAACTAAACAAATTATATGCTATGTTTCCCAAAGAAATAAATATAATTTTCCCAACACCGGTTAATAAAACCATATAATAATTAATGTAATAATAATAATTAATGTGTATTTATTTATATATTTCCTGTCCCATCTGTTGTAGGAAGGGACGTAAATCAACTTAATTTAGTAAATTTATGAGTGATTACTTCCCTTAGTTGTTTTAAACTATACCAAATAAAAAATTTATTTGGTTTTAGACAAAATTAATTCCCGGGTAAAATGAACCGTTTAATTAACTAGTTACTTTACTGCTACCTTTTTTAGATTGCAGTCTCATTTATTCATGCCTTTCATGTGAGGTGCTCAGATATCTTATTCATTTATTGGTTGTCTTGCTTCAAGTTGTTCTGGAATTAAATTCTGTCGTCGCCGTTCTCATATTTGTCGTCGCCATATTTTTCTTACGAGACATATTTATATCTCACTGCTGTATTAAACACATAAAACTTTTTACATGAAAAGATATTGAGTAAAAAGCGATTTATATGATGCCAGGAGTAATCAATGAATCATAGATACCATTGAACGTCTAAAAAATATGAAGGGAACTGATTGATTAAACGGTTCATTGGCATCTATTTTAGTTGTGAGTTTTTATCTCCGTTTTATTGAATCTCAATACATTGTTTCAAGATTTTTGTTTCACTGCATCTCACTACTAAAACTTTCTAAGACTTGCCGCCATTTTTGACGGTATGGTTATACAAATAATGTATTTACCTGCATTTAGACTAAAGTAGTTCCCGAGCAAAATGAACCGTTTAATTAATCAGTTCCTTTGCTCCTACGTTTATTAGAATATAATCTCATTTGTTCAAGTCTTTCATGTGAGGCACTCAAGTACTTAAGGCTATTAAGTGATTATCTTGCTTCAATTTAGTCTTGGAATAGGCTTTGTCACCGTCTTCGTCGATTTCTTGCTCATTTTTTTTCTTTGGAAATCTATTTATATGTGACTGTTAAATAGATTTTCAACATAGAAATATATTGAGCAAAAGGCGATTTATGTAATACCAGGAGTAATCAATGAATTATGGATAACACTAAAAGTCTAAAAATATAAAAGGAACGGATTAATTAAACGGTTGATTGGCTTTCATTCTCCGATTTATTGAATCTCAGGACATTGTTTAAAGACTTTTGTTTCACTGCATCTCATTAGTAAAACTTTCTAACAATTGCTAGAGAATTCTTTATCTTAACTTTATTGAATCTCAAGCCAATGTTTCAAGACTTTTTTTTTCATATCTAACTATTAAAACTTTCTAAAAATTGTCATTTTTGACGACACGAATACGCTATTAATAACAAAATCTGACAGAGTACATATGTATCTTTTAATTTTATTTTTAAATTTAGATACATATATATATATATATATATATATATATATATATATAACTTTTAGAAGTTTTGAATTTCGTGTAACTATACATCATTTCGCTTTTGTTTATCATCACTTGCCTTGATAAAGTCGGATAATGAAACGCGTCGGCAAAAACTAATCAGTTTTCCTATTGTCTATTTTATTCAATTTGTCTTTTCTACAGATATATTCTGTGAATTTTCACACATACATTTGCATGTCTGTGTGCGTCTCTCTCTCTCTCTCTCTATTTCTCTCTCTCACCTACTTTCTTTCATTCTCTCTTTCTTTCTCTCTCTCACCCCTTTCTCTTTCTCTCTCTTTCTTTCTCTATCTCTCTCTCACCCACTTTCTTTCATCCTCTCTTTCTTTTGCTCTCTCACCCCTTTCTCTCTCTCTTTCTGTCTCTCTCTCTCTCACCCCTTTCTGTCATTCTCTCTTTCTTTCTCTCTCCTACCCCCTTTCTTTCTTTCACCCCCTTTCTTTCTCTCTCTTTTTCACCAGCTTTCTTTCTTTCTCTCTCTCTCACCCCCTTTCTTTCTTTCTCTCTCTCTTTCTTTCTTTTTTCTCTCTTTCTCTCTCTCTTATCCATTCACATTCTTTTCCCTCTCCCGAATTGGTTTCCTTCATTTCCATCTTAGCAGAACTGTGTAGGGAGTTTGATCATCATTGAGTGCTTCCATACATTCAGCCTTGTGCCATATTTAAGTTACGCTTTCCATCTTACGAGTCCTCCTTTATATTTTTTATAACTTTTTCTCTTTCTTTCCTTTTTTTTCTTTCCCTCGTTCTTTTTCGCAGTACCGCTGTATGTCCACCTTTGTCTTTCCTTTCTCAGCCAGTCGCTTATCAAGGCGACAGACTGAATCTGTAAAAGACGACGCTAATAAATCGCTCCTGTCACACGAGGTTGCTAAGCAAAGCGGAGAAAGAGATTCGTAGCGTAGATTGGCATTCGTCACGATGTTCGTGTTCATGCGATAGAGACGTGAGACAGCAGAGGCATTTGAACAATAACGAAGCACTTGATGGACAGAGAGAGGACAGAAAGAAAAAAAGTGGGTTTAAAGGCCTCAAGAAAAGTGTAAATTTAGCAGCAACATTCCGAAATAGTTTAAAAATAAAGAAGGCTTTGAATTTTTTTCAATCTAGTTTTTCTTTCTTTCTTCGTTTAATTTACGATTTTTTAAAATTGAGGTAGTACTCTGCAAATAAATCGATGTGGATGGTGAAATTCACCAATGCATTTAGTGTACTGATAATGAAGGATATTATGTTGAAAGTAAATATGTGCTTATCTCAAGGCAGAGGGTGTCAGTGTGGAGTCGCATGAGCGTAGGAAAAGGCAAAAATGGCGGCCGACTCTAGACTTCAAGAGGTCAAGATTATTGTGATTGCGAAAACGTAAGCGAATAAAGAGAAAATAAAAGATATATGTGCGATCTAAGAGAAAATATTTGGTCGAAAATCACGCAAGTTATATGGTGGATTCGTCTACTTAAAATGGACGGATTTATAAAGACTCGAAAAAAAATCAGAAGTAGATCAAAATAATTTACTCACTATAAAGATGCAAAAAAAGGAAAGGGGAATGACGTTTCACATACGACTTGCTTACAAACAGAATTATTTATAATCATTCTGGTTCTCAAAAGTCGAAGTGCAATTTAAATGCACTCATTTTATTTAAATGTATTCCGCTCTCTCATTATATATTGACCGTATTCAGAAGCTAGGCAAAATGCCGCGGAAAAAAAATGACCCAGTATAGTAAAAATATATAATTATTTTTAGATACGATGGGAAATTAATCCCCATTCAACCTTGAAAATGGCTAAAGTAATAGCCGAAAACAGTATTATGGAGACTTTTTCGATACTGTCTTCAAAAAAGAAAACTTTAATAAAAAAAAAGCCCTAAAATTGAATTAAGGAAACCTCAAAAGATATTCTTTGTCTGTCATTTTTATTGAAGCATAAAAACGGATTTCTCACAAAATATACCGTAATTTCTTGAAAATAATACGCACCCATAAATAATACGCACCCCAACAAATGATCCAAAAATTAAGAAATCTATCTCTCCCTATTCCTAAGAGGCATCTATAAATTTTGTCAAAAAAAAAAAAAATAATTACGATGACATTTTGTCGACCTTGACATTAATAATAAAATCGAAACTAAGCGGCTGTTGAAAATTACCAGCGGTTTTCCTGATAAATATAAAATTTTATTTTACCGCCAAAATGTCATCAAGACGTGTGAGTTATAGTGCAAACTTTAAACAAAAACTAATAGAATTAGCAGAAAGAATAGGAAACAGAGCTGCAGTTATAGAATATGAGTTGAATGAGGCTAACATACATTTTTGAACTAAAAAGTGTAAATCAAGTGTCAAAGGTAGAGGAAGAAAAGCTCAATATCCAAATAAGGAACAAAGTTTGAATTTGTAAAAGAAATAGATTATAGATTTCTGATTGTTTTCGACAAATAAAAAATGCGGTTACTGATAAACATAAATTTATTGACCAAAAATGTTAGAATTATTATTGTTGGATTTAAAATGAAAACTGAGATAATATCTTTCTTATTTTAGAATAACAAGTACGTATTTATAAATCAATAACAAAAAACATTTTTGTTTAAACCGATTTATAATACGCATCCGTACTATCACCGGTAATTTAGAGTAAAATAAATGCGTATTATTTAGAGTAAAATAAATGCGTATTATTTTCGAGAAATTACGGTATGCATCACAATTTAAAAAGGTATGCATAGTATGAGTGTATTCTTTCAATTTTCTCGAATCTATTCAGAACAAAAGTAGGCTATCAGTATGAAGGTCAAAGAAGTTAAAGGTCATGACAAATTTACGCACTACATAAAAAGAGAAACGTTTTTTTCTTTCCTTCATGGGATTTTACAAGTCTTTTCACAAAACAATTCCTACAGGCTTATGTATTTTTGTGTAGATAAGTACAATGAAATTCCGCGCGGGAAGAAAGTTACACCGAATTACTGGCGGAGTACATGAGAGGAGAAAAAAAGACAGGTCAGTAAAACAAAGGCAAGCGTGTAGTTTACTGTGAACAGCAACCTGAAGTGCTGACGGCTCTGTAGTGGCGCAAGTAAATGAAAGTTGACGACTGACGAATTTAAAGGTCAAGACTAAGAAATCGGGTTTGGGGATGTTTATGCGGTGGGAAGGGATTGGTGAGAAGGTTTTGATAAGAAAATTAGAGGTTGTGAGACGGGGTAGACAGAATGGATTCCGGGTGGCATTAAAAATATTCTGGGGGTCGACATATGGAGAGAAAAACCTAGGTAATTTAAGTAGATATCAAAAAGATAAAAAAGTATTTGGACTGAAGGGAGGAGAAAGCAAATACCTTTAACCAAAGTCACACTTTGTTTTTAGCAAATTATTTTTAGCAATTTCGTTTTTATTCTTTTAATTTGGAAATGCCTGGTTTTTACCTTGAATATACTTATTTAAGTATTTGAATATACTTATTTAAGTATTTGAATATACTTGTTTAAGTATTTGAATATACTTATTTAAGTATTAGAACAATCCAGAATTTATTACCGGAACTAAACCATCGATATACGGATAGAAAATCAATTCAGTAAATACACAAAAATATAGAGGGGCCTGAGACAAGGATGGGTCTTCTCACCGGACTTATTCAGCCTTTACAATGAGATGATTTTGAGAATACTACTGCTAGAATTAATTACTGGCGGCCACAATCTTAACAGAATAAAATATACACATGACACAGAAAGAAAACTACAAAAACTCCGACAGAAGGCAATATGGAAAGCGAGAAGAAAGAACTAACTATCAATTGTAAGAAGACAGAATATATGGTTAGCACCAAACAAGATGCTAACTACAAACTGGAGACTTAAAAATCGAGAAAATAAAAAAAATTTACATGTATACATGAAATACACCCTTGTGTAAATTAATTGAAACAAAACAAATAATTCCGTTATTATTTTTTTTTTTCGTATTTTTCCACTGAAACATGATCCAGTGCACATGTTAGTACTTTGTATATCCATTCCATGAAGTCGTTCCTTGCAGATTGACCAAAGATTCTCGATTGGATTTAAATCAGGAGAGTTTGCGAACCCGTCTATAGTACTTTGATTTGTTCACTGCTAAGGCTTGGCAGTGTGTTCGTGCAGCGTTACAATTTTCGTACGCTTCTTGGAGTAACGTCTATCGCAGACAATGGACAACTAATCGACAGTCGAAACAATAGTGGCTGCACGTAATAAAACTCTGATGCAATCCCGGATGACACAATATTTTCTATGCCTAACAAATTTCATCATACAACCCAAGAATAGATTCATATTACTGAACACCACTGAGAATGACCTAATCTGGGGAAAAATAGAAATCGATTACACTCTGTCGCTCCAGTGGATCTAAAACTGACTGTATGGTGAACGAAAGGCTGTTTCAATTAATTTGCATACGGGTATAAGTTTCGGACTAGGTAAAAAATGAATATATATTTAACATGCCTTAATATATATTAATAATATACATAATATAGCGGAATCATAGATAGACCTTATATGTGTACATGAAATAGGTTTTGGAGAAAATATGTGTAAAAACTCGAAATACATTCTCGAAATATATACATACTCAAAATATATTCTAATACATTATGGCTTTTGAAAAGTAATTACGTATTTCACTGCTATCAATTTTAAGTTAACCAACCTAAGCAGAACCAAAGCTGAATGGTAAGAAACTGCATCTAGAATATTTGTCAGTACATTTCTCAGGTTTGAAAACTCACAAAAACCGAATTTTGGTTCCTCGTGAACTGCTGCTTAAGAATCGAACACAACGTTCTACAATCTGCGGAAGATTTTCTTTTAACTAGATATGCCAACCTTTCATGTTGGACTCGCATTGTTAAAGGTGATGAAAAATGGGTTGTGCATAGCAACAGAAAACGGAAACAACAATAGTTAATACAAAATGAAGAACCAGTGCCAACAACACCACGGTACAAATATTGTGACGATAAAATTTGCTTTTTTATATCATTTTAAAGAGAGAAAAGATTTTATTTTTTAAGCCAACATATTTTAATTTGCTTCAAATGTTACTTTTTTTTTTATCGGAAACCAGTATTTGAGTAGACGTTCTGTTTATTTTAATCATTATTTATTTCGTTTCCCGACGTGCGCACTCGGGAAATATATACTGTTTAAAATAACTGCAGCATCTAATCAAATAAGGCTATCAACTCAAAATAAGGTTTGAAAAAATATATATATATATATATATATATATATATATATATATATATATATATAGCTCAAATATTAATTAACGACCCAATTCATCAAACCTACAAATTCAAATCCATCCATTATAATTATCGTAATTAATTATAACCATGGAAAATTAGTCTTTGAGCCTTGTATATTATATTCTTGCTCTGTCTTGTATATTGAGCTCTACGTGGATTTTATACTCTTGGGAATATATATATATATATATATATATACTCTAGGTAATAATATATATATATATATATATATATATATATATATATAAAGGCACATTTATAAATCTACCATTCGTCAGTGGTAAGTTCTCTTTTAATCTAAATAACATTATTTATATCGAAATTAATGCCACACACATTGCAGTGAAAAATAATGCACTGAAAGTATTGTTTGTTAAAAACTCACTTTTTTTATTTTATAATAATTTATTTAAATTCCACGAATTTTAACCTATTTATTCCTTATGGCAATAATTTCAGGTGATACAGGAAATTCCTCTTTCAAATTTTAGCTTATTACTATTTACCTTTCGTTCGTGCATTGGACAATGTTGTCACATCTCAGTTGGTGCTTCAGCTATGTATCTATAGATTCTTGACAAACTCCCAAATC